ACATAACAACAACAACAACAACAGTTCATCCATTTATTAATTTATACTTTCATAATTACTTTGAATGTCACAATATGATTCCTTTGACTATTCCAAAGCTTTTTCTCTAGTAGTTTTATCATTTTATGCCTGATCAAGAACACTATAAAATATTTAAAAAGCTTCTTTAAAGTTAAATTTTAAAGCCAATCTCATAAATTTACAATGATCATAAATTGTGTCTGTCTAAATCCAGATGGAAGAGGTGAATAGTGAATTTTATTAACCTTTCACTGAGGAGCCATGAGCTCATCTACTGAGCAGTTTTATCATGATGACACTTGATTTCATGCTTCTGCATCTGTGTCTTTTACAGGTTTTAGTGGTAATCATCTCCTCCTGTGTGGTTAACTGCCTCTGAAAACCTGGCATTGGATCAGCTGTAGGTTTGTTCCAACTCAATAGTACACAACAAAAACATGAAAAATCCTCGTCTTTAACAATATTGTTAAATTAATGGACCTCCGGAGATGTCCATGACAGCAGACTTTCCCAATGCAATTCTTTCTTTGATTTCCTGACCGCTGGTGCCAAGAGTGTTGACTGTGGAACCACGCAAGCAGAAGTTACCAACACTTTCAGTCTCTCCTCTGACTATCATGAAGCTTCCAACTGGCCCAGGGGTGAGATCCACTGCCATCAAATCTGCAAAAAACACTACCATAGCTATCTACTACTGAGCAAATAGTGAATTCCAAAGGGTGACCTTATGGTTAGCAACCAAGTGCTTAACCACTGCACCACTAGGGGTTCACCTCCCATTAGAATAGTTATAATCAGAAAAACAAAATAACAAGTGTTTAACAGAATGCCATGAAAATAAAACACATATGTATTACTGATATAATTGTCACATGGTACAACTGCTATGGAAAAGTTTGGTAGTTTCTAAAAATGTCAAAACATAAAATTACTGCAAAACTCATCTAGTGACATAAAGTCCATTCCAACTGTTGAGGACCCTGTAGGACAGAGTAGAAATGCCCACAGGGTTTCCGAATTTATACATCTAAACGGGAGCCTCATTTTTTTCTTGTGGAGTGGCTTCGTCCTGTTGTTGCCTCACCTGTTGTGTGCTGTCGAGTCAGAACCGACCCGCGGCTGACTCTCCAGTGGGTTTTCAGAGGCTGGAAATTGGTGGTGGGTTCAAATCATCACTGACCTCTGTTTAGAAGCCAAATGCTTTATCCACAGTCTCACCTGAGAATCACTATCTTCTTGCTGTTGAATTGGTTTAGCCTCAAAGTAAATCTCCATTAGGGTTGTGAGACTGCCAATCTTTACAGGAGAAGACTGCTCATTTTTTTATGGAGGAGCGGCTACTGGGTTCAAACAGCCAATCTTTTTGGTTATTATCAAGCTATTCAACTCGTAAGTACATTCACAAAAGACTTAAAAGCATGAGTTCAAACATGTACACAACGTTCATTGCTATTGTTGTTAGTTGCCACCTAGTCTACTAAGACTCACAGTGACCCCTATGAGAACAGATTAGAACCATGCCCTGTTTTGCACCATCTTCACAATATCAGCTGTGTTAAAACTCATTATTGTGGTCACTTTGTCCATCCAGCTTCGTCTCTTCTACTAACTCTCCACAATCCCCATAAATATTCAATATTTGACTGTTTAATACTTTATTTTTTTTTTTTTGGTCAAACATTCTTCTAAGCAGTATAGCCCTGGTCTGTCCATTTGCTCTACAGAGGTAACTCGTGGTTGCTGTGATGCTAAACACTGTAACACTGATGTGTCAAATGCAATAATGATTACTCCTGGTGGACAGTGTTTGGTGGAGCTCCCCGATTAAAACAAGCTTGGAAGCAGGAGGGGCATCTACTTCTGAAATAGCTTGTCTCTGGAAACGCTATGAACTTGGAGAAACAATGAAAGTTATACAAGTGTTCAGGTCTTCTGTTCATGGGGTCGCTATGAGTCATCTACGACTTGACGGCACCTAACAACAAAACAATACTTTATAAAGTGTAGTATACATTTTGGATTTCAGGTGCATTGATAAATATGTGAAGACAAATGTCAAGTATTTGTGACATGCCTTTGAGTTATGTTGCTGGAAAAAAGTCTTGAACATACCACAGACCACCAAGAAAACAAACAAGTCTATCTTAGAGAGGGCAAAACCAAGTTTCTCCTTGGAGGCTAGGATTTTGAAGCTCCATTTCACATACATTGGGCATGTTGCCAGGAGAGACCAGTCCTTGGAGAAGGACATCATGCTCAGAAGGGTGGAGGGACAGTGGAGGAGAGGAAGTTCCCAGATGAGACAAATACAGTAACTGGGGCATTGGGGGTAGTAGTGTGAGACTGGCTCAGGACAGGGCAGGGTCGTTATGAATCACAGAAGAATTGACAGCACATAACAATGAAAACATGTACCTATTAGTTGTTATATGCTTTTACATTAGTGATTCTATGTACAATATTACAAATTACTACCCTGTCCTGAATAATCCTCAGAATTTCTGCTGTGCTCAAGCCTATTATTACAGTCATGGTGCCAGTACATCTTGCTGAAGGTCTTTCCATCTTTTGCTGACCCTCTACTCATAACAAGTTAGGGTTCACACTGAGAAGAATGGGAATCTCTGAACACTTAATTGTGTTCATTTGAAACCTGTACTTAGAGCAAGAAACCACTGTTCAAACACCAAGAGAATACTACATGGTTTAAACTCAAGATGTGCGGCTGGACTGTATCCTTTCTCCATACCTATTCGATCTATTTGTTGAGCAAACTGTTCTCAGACAGACTTTATGAAAAAGAGTGTGGCATCAGGATCAGAGGAAGACTCAGCAACAACCTGCATTACACAGATGACACAACCTTGCTTGTAGAAAGTGAAGAAGACTTAAAATGCTTGCTGCTGATGATCAAAGACTATAGCCATCAATGTGGACTACATTCCAACATCAAGAAGACAGAAATCCTCACCACTGGGCCAATAGGCAACATCATGATAGAAGGAGAAAAGACTATCTTAATTCCACTGGCAGTCAAGGAAATAAAAAACATACTGCACTGGGTAAATCTGCTGTCAAGGACCTCTCTAAGGTGTTAAGGAGTAATGATGTCAGTTTAAATTGATTTAAGCACACTTGATTCAAACCACTGTCTTTTCTATACTTGTTATGCATCTTAAAGTTGGGAAATGACTAAGAATGACAAGAATTGATGCCTTAGAGTTATGATGCTGGAAGAGAGTAGTGAAAATAACATGGATTGCCAGAAGGACAAATATTTCCTGGAGAAAGTACAGCTGGGCTACTCTTTGGAAGCTAAAATGGTGAAGGTTTGTGTCACCAATTTTGGGCATGTAGGTAGAAAGGGCTATTCCTTGGAAAAGGACATCACACATGGAAAGGTAGAGGGTCAGTGAAAGAGAAGACCTTGAATAAGATAGAATGCCATAGAGATGGATGCAAGTATATTAGAGAAATGAGGTTGGCACAGGATGGAGCAAGGTTCAGATCCATTGTTCATAGGATTACTATGAATCATAAGCAACTCAAGGGCACCTTATAATAACAACACTACATTTCCAAAGATAGTGCCCTTTTCCAAGGACTTGCGCCTTCTGATATTATGTTCAATGCAGGCAAGACTAAATCTTACTTTCCTTTCTTCTAAGGAGCACTCTGGCTCCACTTGTTAAAAAGACTTGTTTGTTCTTTTGATAGTCCATGGTATGTTTTTTTGCTCAATTTTGTTAATTTGCTGTTTTACTTTCAAATGCATATGAAGCAAAGGAAAATACTCTGGCTAGGGTCTGGTGCACCTGTCTTTCCTCTCCCCTACAGGTGAATTTTTATTTTACACTTTAGGAAGGGATACAATGAAGAAAGAGAAGTGTAACTAATTACCTATGTTTAGGACTAAATTATGTACAATACCAGATCTTGATTCAAAGTCTAACCACTTTTTATGACTTCTATTAAACTTCTTATCAGAGATCCTTGTTTAACTATTCCTTTGAAATTTTTAATTCAGGGAATCTCTTTACCAACTGATTTTTTTTTTCCAAACCAAAGGATTATGCACACACAAATAATATAAAATGCATTTATGTACTGCACAATAGTTTTTGATGGTCATTATATATACAACCCTGTAACCAGTGTACAGTCAGATCACCTTTCTAGCCTGTAATCCTCAAGAAATATCTAAGTTCTTTAAACATCCACTAATTTTACTACAAAATTTCTTACCAAATGAAAACTCTGTAAGGCATTTAATTGGAGAGATGAGTAATCTCCTCCCGTGCGGTTTACTACAGCCTCTGAAACCCGCCAGCGAGTCAGCCCCCGCCGGCAAGTCAGCTAGGACTAAATTCAGATTTGACTGCAACGGGTTGAGTTTTTAACATAAACTTTAGAACTAGTTTAAGCACAAACACTGCTTCGTATCAAAATCCTCGCACAGGTGTTTCAGCTCCTCATTGGGAAGGATGGCAAAGGGTTTGGGGGTGTTTTCACCGCAGCATCGTCGCACCCTCCACACGCGGTCTCTTCCAAGGTCCTATCAATGCTCAGAGGTAACACAAGGGGCAGTGGGAGTGTGGAAAAAGGAGGGAAATTTCTGTCATGCGCACTACGGAGAGTCGCGCTTCTGTCGCTTCCACATAACTCACTGGGAGTCTGGCTTGGTCATGCGCACTGAGATTCCCCTGCATGCTCGCATCTTGTTGCGCGGTCATGCGCATGAGCAGAGCGGCTCGGTCGGGCCCGCGAGGGCGGAAGTGAGCCGCTGCCGTAGGGAGGCGCGAGCCTAGCTTCCCTCTGCGGGGTGGGCTAGCCGTTGACATGGCGCCCTCCACAAGTCTAGCGGTTTCCTCGGCGATACTGGTGGTACTGCTTTTAGGGGCTCCTTGGACCCAGGGGCGGCGGAGTGACGTGCGCATCATCACGGACGAGAACTGGAAAGAGTTACTGGAAGGAGAGTGGATGATAGAATTGTGAGTGCGAGGCAGTTGCTTCGGGGCCCCGCGGTCTACTAACTGGTGCCCCAAGGTTCGAGCCTTCCCTCCTGGCTTTCTCCCCGATCACTATGCCCTTTCGAGTCCCAGGTTCGTTCAGATGCTCCCTCCAGGCCGGGAGCTCCCAGCTCCTCTCGAGTCTCAAACTCCTCTTTGGTTTAGTTACGACTTGGTCCCACCCCTCTCTTAGTTTCTTATTCGCTAATACATTTTTTTTTTTAAACCGAAGTGTCCACTCTAGATTCTGGTGCTCCTAATCAGTTATGTTCCTCTTCGTATCCTTTCTTTAAGGCTTTAGAATTGGCAAGTATAGAATGTACCTTCACAGACATCTTAGCCTTATTTTTACCAAACTTTACAAAAGAGGAAATTGAGCACCATTTCTTATCACCTCTCTTTTGTCTAACCATATCCTTAAAAATCTGCTAATTCACTGCATTGTAATTTAAGGTTCTTTAATTTTAATTGTTTGGGGTTGTTGTGGTTTACGTACATTCCTTTCTCATTGCAAATGCTAAGAACAGTTAAGTTGCATTACTTTAAACTCCCCCCCCCCGCCCCCCCCATAGCTTTCTGCATATTCTGTTTTCCTTGGGTGTGCTTTTGTAGTGTGGGCCAAGCCCTTTTAGGTTTATGTAGGTGGTATTGCATTAAAACACAAAATTAATATATAGAATTTTAAGATGTGTTTATAAACTCAGGAAAGTTTATAAATCATTAAGGAAAATAATAAGTGTGTATAATGATTCTATTTAATTAGTGTCCTTTCTAAAGTGGGACATTTCCCTCTAGTTGTGGTAGGATTGGTGATATTAGTGGCATTAAGTATAAGCATTATTATTACCTTTGTACCAGACACTGCTGTGCACGTTACATTCATTTTTAGGCCTTTACAAGCTGTTTAAGATGGGTTTTAGTTCTTTTATCACAGATGTGAAGAAGGTGGTTAAATGTTTCAGTTAACCAGTACTGATATTCCTATAATTTAACTCTCATTGGAGTCCCCAGAGTCTTAACGCGGAATAAGTGGTCAGTAATTGTTCAGACATGCCACCTTTAAACAAAGATTCAGGTGTTTTTCTCTGATCTGAATGTTAGTAAGATTCTGGGTGAGGGGGATCTGGACATCTGTAAAGAAACCCAGTTAGGGATTCCTGAATCATAAAATTTAATGAAGGCTTACTTACAACATTTAGATGGAGGTTAATAAAGAAAGGAAAAGTTGAAGTGAAAATTCCAGCACCATTAAAGCTGCAGAAAGGAGGAAATGTAACTGTGATCTTTCATTATCAAATCATGCAGTTTTGATTGTGCCCATAAATGATTCCGTTTCCTAAACAAAGCTCAGTAACAGTTAATATGATTTATAATGTGATATACAGTCAAGTGTTACTCTGAAAACTCATTTTAACGCATTTGATAAAATTACATGAATTGAGAAGTAAAAAGTGGAGTATTAAGAGGGCAAAATACTAAACACGAACTAAATCCAAATTACCTAAATCCAAATTAGCGTCCATTTGAAATGGTGTGTACAGTTTAAAGTTTTGTTTCTTTATGCTTCTCTTTGATTCTGAGGTTCACGAAGTCTTTAAAAAGCAATTAAGAAACAGAAGGAACTTGAAAAAAAGGAGATTTAGTAGTTCTTACGGTAATCTGCTTTTACAAGTGAATTATCTACTGTAAACAACTCACCTCTGATCAGAAGTTCTGTTACAGAGATATGTTCATTGTAATGCAACTTAATTGTTAAATTGGGTTTTCGTATAATAGTTTTGTTCCACATTATCTCATCATTTTAGCCTATGTTTATGAAACAAGTGAAGACAATGTTAAAAAGTACAGAAACAACTCTTAAAGGTAGTAGTGGTTGTTGTGTGCCAAGGAGTTGGAACCATAGTTGACTGTCCAGTGGGTTTTCAGAGGTGGTTAATCCCGTGGGAGGAGGAGATTGCCTGTCTTTCACTGCAGAGCAGCTGGAGGAAGCTGGTTCTTTGAGTTAACAGTACAGCTCCTTACCACTAATCCTTATGATTAATTGTTTGAGGTTCCATAGAAGAGCTGAGGCAGTTTTCCTAGGGAAAAATCAAACCGAGACCACTGGGACCCCTTAAAATGCTAATACAGGCTTGGCCACAGAATTTGTAAATCAGGGGCCTGTGGCAACAGTGCTGAGTGATGTTGCCAGTCTTAAGATGGGGGTGTGATGCCTTACTTTTCCCCTGCTGAGGTCGCTTTCTGATTCTCTTATTTGACACCGTACATTTGTGATGGCTGCGGTGCTCTTGAAATTGGTGAACTTTGGTTTTAGGTTGCACTGCCAAAGGCAAGTGGTTTGAATCCTTTAATTGCTCTGTAGGAGAAAGACCTCTAGTTTCCACCTGTGTGATTTACAGCATGTGAAAAGCTTATGGGAGGGTCAGCTGTGAGTCCATTCTAGCTTGACGGCAGTGAGCAACATTTTTCAAAAGGCACAATAGTTTTTCAAGAACTACCTTTTGTCTTAAGAAGGTATTATGAAGAATGATTAGTGCCATAGTTCTTCATTTTTAAAATGTTACAGCCACATTTGCAGTTGTGTAAAATTTACCATTTACCAACTTCATTGTTTTCAGTAGAAAGTTGTGTTCAAAACCAACAAATTTAAAAATTTTTGTTTCCAGTGGGAAAACTATATTGGAATATTTATTTCGGTAGCCTAGTAAGGTTTAAAAATGTGTATTTTTTATATTTGTAAAATTCCCATCCCTTCCTTGTTAGATGCCTTTCATCTTCTGTTCTTTTCTTTTTTTTTTTTTTTAAACACTCTTTCTTAGTTATGCTCCATGGTGTCCTGCTTGTCAGAATCTTCAACCAGAATGGGAAAGCTTTGCCGAATGGGGAGAAGATCTTGAGGTTAATGTTGCAAAAGTAGATGTCACAGAGCAGCCAGGTACTATAAGTCTGGGTTTTTTTTGCAGATGGAGTTGATAAGCTAATTCTGTTCTTCACATTAGAAGCCCTTAACTATTTCTTTCATTAGGTTTTTGAAAACATAAGATCTGCAGCTAGTAAGCCGACTGGCCCACCTCTTTGATGGGGGCTCAGTGTGCATTGGTTGCAGACAGCAAACTCCTTGGCTTGTATGTAGCTCATTACTCCTATGAGTTGCTCCAAGGGAGCTTGGAGATAACACTTCCTCCCAGCTTGCCTAAACAGTGGCTTCATATCCTTCTAATTTATAACTCAGGCCCCAGACTGGCATGTCAGAAGCTTTTAAGAAGTCCTTGAATGTGATGCCAGGTCTGCCTTTACCAAGCAATCACTTCTATCCATAGGCTTTGCCATAATGAGCATGTGATTGAGCTTCTTTGTAGGGACAAAGTTAAATTCTCTGACAGTAGGAGATCTAAATCTCTGAAATTCATTGGGTATGACTGGAAGACAAAATATAAAACCAGCTACCCTTGCACTCCTGATTCGGTCACCTGGAAAACTGACATGTCCTGCCCACGAGGATACTCTTTGTTTAGAAAGACCTCACCATGTGTGTTTTATCATTAAGTTTGATTTCCTGTCTTTCCCTCCATCCCTAATAGTTATAATAGCTAATGTTTATTGAGCATTTACCTGCTGTTTGTCACATTTATTGTTTGAGCCTTATACAGCCTTGGAAAATAGGTAAGAGTATCAAATTTTAAATATATATAAACTGAGGCAGAAATAGATTGATCATTAGTTTTATTGCTGTTTGTCACATGGTTGATAATGTTACCTGCCGATACTACCCATTAAGAAAGATGCCTGAGCATTTTTTATTTTAACAATTCATATCACTCTGGGTTTTTGGCTCTTGAATTTTAAAAAAATTTCATTTGAATTTAGAGCTTTCTCAAATACTATTGTCTGATCAGTTGTGGTTTTATCACAGCACAACTGACCACCTGTTTTTATACATGTTTATAATGTTCTTAGTGTTTGAAGTTCATTTTTTTAACCTTTAGATTATGTACAGTAATTTTTTTAAAAATTGCTTGAAACACATTGTTAAGATTTCATATTCGTTCCCTGAACTTGGTTTGCAGAAGATCTGTTGTGTGATTATCTGTATTAACTTACCTGTTCTTGTATTTCTTTTTTTTTTTTTTTAATTTAATTTAGTTTGTTTAT